ACTGATTCATCATATCACCCATACTTTACATTTGGGTTCACTCTCAGTGTTTACCTGGTATGGGTTTGGACAGACGTCCACCATTACAGTATCATACAGAGTAGTTTCCTGCCCTAAAAATCCTCTGTGCTCGGCCTATTCCTCCCTCTTCTGGTCCCCCTAACTTCTGGCAATTCATGATCTTTTCATTGTCTCCATAACTTCCGCCTTTTCCAGAATGTCATGTCGTTGGAATCATACAGTATGTAGCCTTTTCAGATTGACTTCTTTCACTCAGTAATATGCTTTTAAATTTCTTCCACATGTTTTCACAGCTTAATAGCTCATTTCGTTTTTTTTTGTTTTTTTTTTTTCAGATTTTTTTAATGTGTATACACTGCTTTGTGTATTTTTGGCTGCACTGGGTCTGCACGGCAGCATGGGGACTCCTCTCTAGTTGCACAGGCATCTCACGGTGGGGACTCCCCTGTTGCTGAGCTCTAGGCTCATGGGCTCCAGCAGTTGCGGCTCGAGGATCTACAGCACAGGCCGAGTAGCTGTGGCGCTTGGGCTGAGTTGCTCCGCCGCACGTGCGATCTTCCCGGATCAGGGATCAAATCCATGTTCCCTGCATTGGCAGGTGGATTCTTATCTGTTGGGCCACAAGGGAAATCCCAATAGCTCATTTCTTTTTAGTGTTGAATAATATCCCATGGTTTCGATGGACTGTGCTCATTTATCTGTTCACCTACACTTCTCGGCAGATGCTATTGAGGGAAGTGTCACCCAAACCCAGAAAGGCCTGTGACAGCGTAGGAGCGGTGAGGCGTTGGAGCCGGCCCCATCCCCGTCTCCTTAAGCCCCACACTCAGTGATTTCCAGCTCAAGTGTTCCTTGGAACTGGGGATCCCAGGACACATGGAGTGCCTTCCTCACTAGGATGAGTAAGAACTACGATGGTTCCAGCTTATAAGTACTGAATGGCTCCTCTCTGCTGGACACGTACGTGTACAACCGCATTTGATTCATCACTGATTTGACAACGCTGATGGAGGGCCTGCTGCTGCCCTGCCCTGTCCAGGGGTGCAGAGCAGTAAACACACCGCACAGCGAGAAACAAACCTGATTCTGCTCCTAAGGGAAGAAAACGAAGGGGCGTGGCAGTCAGGAGGGTCTGGGCCTCTGTGAAACTCCCCCACATGCCTGCCTGAGTCAGAGTTGAGCTCCACTATGGAGGCTTGCATAGTTAAACAATGGGGACTCCATTAACACGCGTGTCTGGAGTGGTACCTGAAGCCTTACCAACCATGAGCTCTTTGAGGCACTGACTGTGCCTGTCCCCACGGAGGTCTGCCCTCAGAGCGCTCTCGATTCTAACTGGACACTAACTGGCTCAACCTGGTGAGGTGGGAGGGAAATGACGCCCAGAGAGAGCTTGATATGAAACTTGATGTACTGGGTTGAATAGTGTATCCCGAAGGTTCAGGTTCACCGGGAATCGCAGAATGTGACCTTATTTGGAAACAAGGTCTCCGCAGATGTCATTAGTTAAGATGAAGTCATGCTGGCCTAAGGTGGATCTTAACTCCAGCATGACTGGTGTCTTTATAAGAAAAGGAGAGGGAATTCCCTGAATTCCCTGGCAGTCCGGTGCTTAGGACTCCACACTTTCACTGCTGAGGATGCAGGCTCCATCCCTGATCAGGGAAGTAAGATCCCACAGGCTGTTCAGTGAGGCCCTCGTGCCCCCCACCCCCCTGCAAAAAATAAAAATAAATAAATAAAAGCAGATACATACACACACTCACATACACAGAGGCAAAGAGGGAAGATGGCCCCAGAGGCAGCTCTTGGTATATGTGGCTACAGGCTAAGGAACTCTAAGAATTGCTGGTATGTGTGTGCTACGTTGCTTCAGTCGTGTCCGACTCTTGGCGACCCTATGGACTCTAGCTCACCAGGCTCTCCTGTCCATGGAATTCTCCAGGCAAGAATACTGGAGTGGTTGCCTTGCCCTCCTCCGGGGGGATCTTCCGTACCCAGGGATTGAAGCTGCATCTTCTGCAGGTTCTGAATTACAGGCAGGCTCTTTACTGCTGAGCCATCCAGGAAGCCCAAGGATTGCTGGCAACTCCCCACAACACAGAAGGATCAGGAAGGATTCTTCCCTTTGGGCCTTTGGAAGGAGCATGGTCCAGTCAACGCTTGCCTTTCTGACGTCTAGCCCGCAGAAGTGTGAGAGGATGAATTTCTGTTGTTTAAGCCACTGAGCTGGCTGTAGTCTGACACCCTCCTCCCAAGAAGCACACTTGCTTAGAGTCACCCAGGAGGAAGTCGGAACAAGCACTCAAATCCAGTTCTTTCTGTCCACAGGATTTTGAGCACAGGCTCTAGACACAGGGCTTCAGCAGTTGCAGCATGCCAGCTCAGTAGTTTCAGCTCCCGGCCCCGCAGCAGTATCACTAACTGTGGGACACAGGCTTTGCTGCCCTGCTCCACGACACGTGGGATCTTCCCAACCCAGGAGCCAGGCTTCAACTGTGTCCCCTTCATTTGCAGGCGGATTCTTATCCACTCGTACCACTGTGGGAGTCCAACAAATGATTTTTAAATGCAAAACGTTATGAGTGAGAGCATATCATCTATATATTAATTTACCCAGAAAACATTTATTCAGTGCTTATGTCAGGGAGTGCTCCAGTTACACGGCGTCTAGTTTATTGGGGTAGGACAGAAAAAAAAAGAAAAGATACGGTAGATCAGATGGTGAGAAGAGTTATGGAGAAAAATTGCGCAGGATAAGAGCAAGTTTAGGTGTGTGTTCGGGAGGATGGGGAGGAGGTAATTCTATTCTGTGGGGAGAGAGAGAGAGAGAGAGACAGAGTGTGTGTGTGTGTGTGTGTGCGCGCGCGCCTGTGCATGTTAACCGGCTCTCTGACAGGTGGTTTCTTAACACTACAGACACCAAGAACAGCGAATGCAAAGGCCTAGAGACAAGAGGGTGCTCGACCGGCAAGAGGGGCCCGCACGGCTGCAAAGGGGCATGCAGTGCGCAGATCTGGAGACGAGGCCGGAGGGCAAGCACAAGTCGGCTTGGCCTCGCGGGCTTAACCCGCGCCCTAGCGGGGCCTTTCCTGCGTGCCGCACCCAACATGGCGGCCACATGGAACCCGCCCGCGGGCGAGCGGAAGTGCGTATCGGCGGGCGCCGGAAGTGGCAGATGGCCCCGCCCCCTGCTCGGGTCTCTGTGGAGCCGCGGACGCGCCGGCTTTGAGCATCCCTGGCCAGCCAGGCGGGAGGTCCTGGAGCTCTGGCTCCGGAGGCAGCGCCTCGGCCCGCCCTCGACATGGCCAGCTCTGGAGAGGTACGGCCGGCGCCTCTCTCCGCTCTACTCCCTGTTCGGCGGCTTTGGCCCCCGCTCGGTCCTCCCCACCCCGACTTCGGTTCCCCTGCGTCCTTTCCGTTTCGTTCCCTGTCCCGCTCCATCCTGCCCGTCCTGACCTCGGTTGGCTCTGTGCTTCCCAGCCGGGCCCCCAACCGCGGCCCCGGGCGGTCCTTCACACTCCGACCCTGACGTCGGCCTGGCTTGGTCCTTCCTGCCCCGACCCTGGCCTTGGCCTCGCCGGGTCCTTCCCATCCAGTCCCGGGCCTTACCCGTTTCCCCATCCGTGACCCGTCCCGCCCCCTAGGACCTCACCCTTTATCTGAAGGTGTAAGCTCTCTCAACCTTCGGTTTTATGTCCCTTTCCCAGTCCCTAATCCTGATGGGCAGACCTCTCCCCGCTCCCTACTTTCCCAGAGTTTCCAGCTCCTGTGCGCCTCCCCGGCCTTTCCCCCCTGCCCCGGGCCTTGGCTCGGCCCTTGGAGCTCTGAGACGTTCCTCCTCCCTGCCCGCTTCCCATCCCATTCTCTGTCCCTGAATGTTCAGTTTCAGCCCAGCCCACTTTTCTCTGAGCCTGCTTGCTGTGTGCCTTGTGAGGGGCGGGGGGTAGTGGAGGAAAAGCCATTTCACCTGGGGGCTTTGTGACTTAACTCTGAATGTTCCACAAATCTGGGTCCGACAGAGAATCCCGCTGAGCTCCTGTAATGTGGTGCGAGGTATTTTCTCTGTGGACCAGGGAGTAGGGGATCTGGACTCTTACTAGGGCTTTCCCATTCGTCGCGCCCTCCCTACTCTTATGTACACTTGTGTGCATCTGTATTTATGGCTTTTGTCCGCCACCCGCAACCACTGAGTGAACTTGCTGAGTCTTATGGGCTTGCTTGTGCTCTGGGGAACTGGAGTGGATGGGGCATGGGTACGTGGAAGGTGGCTAGGGTTACTGATAGCTCTTCGAGTGAATTTGGGTCAGAAGTGGCCCCTAGATCGAGAGGGAGGCTGTGTGCCCCCCCCCCCCCAACACACACACACACAAGCACACACTGGTGGTAGCATTGAAGGGCCAGAGAGTGCCAGCTCCCCGAGGAAGCGTCATGGGGGTAGACTGGCTGTGTTAGCAGATTCTGGTTAGTTGCATGTGCTTAGTGTGTGTGTGGGAGGGTGGAGGGTGTCTGCTACTGTGGTCTTTTGTGGTCCTGGTGCAAAGGCCCCTCTGTTCCTTGAAGTACATGTTGGGGAGCTGCCCAGTGAAGCCTCTTGTCACATCATGAGCATCTCTTGGCTTGAGAAGAGAGAGGGGAGTCTTGTTCTGACCTGGATGTGGAGATAAGGTCCTTTTCTCTGTGCTGTGCTTAGTCGCTCAGTCATGTCCAAGGACTGTAGCCCACCTGGCTTCTCTGTCCATGGGGATTCTCCAGGCAACAATAGCAGAGTGGGTTGCCATGCCGTCCATCCTCCAGGGGATCTTCCTGACCCAGGGATTGAACTCAGGTCTCCCGTGTTGCAGGCGGGTTCTTTACCAGCTGAGCTACCACAGAGGCCCCTTTCTCTGGGTGGATCTAATGATTGATTGATTGGTTGAGATATACTTTGCATACCATAAAATTTATATACTTTTAANGCTCCAACAATATGAAATCGCAGACGTTTGGCCAGGAGGCCACGCATCTGAGGTTTTGCCAGAGCAGTGGACATGGTAGTTCTCCTTCTCGGCAGCTCAACCGCAACGTCCTTCTAGCCTGATGGAGAAATGGGCCAGGAAAGTCCTTAAAACTTACACTTTTCCCGTGTATATTGCAGTGATTTAAAAAAATGTACTCACAAGTTTGTGCCACCATCCCCACTATCTGATTCCAGAATGGGGTGGTCTGATTTTGAGAGTCCTTGCTGGGTTTGAAATGCAGATGTCCTCCTCCTGTGCTTCTGAGGAGCTGGGCTCTGCACTTTGAATAGCTTTTCGAAAGATTCTGAAGCAGTGGTTCACTGACGCCCAGTTCAGTGCCTCTTTCCATTGGGCATTAAAAGGTGATCCCTGTTCATGAGCTGTTCCTGGCCAAGTGAGGAGACAGGCAGGTAACAAAGCAGTACAACCAACTGATGAGGCCGGAGGGGAGGAGGGTGGCTGGGGCAGAAGGGGGTGACTTAAGTGTGTCTGGGGTGCTGGAAGGGCTTCCTGGGGAGGGAGCCTTTGAGCTGAGGTTTCCAGAGTAGCAGTTTCCCTTCTGTGTTGGGGACATCATTGAGGGGAGGGAGCAGCTGTGCCAAGGCTTGGAGGTCTGACTGCTGGGTATTGGGGGACATTCTGGAAATTGCCAACTAGAGAAGCAAAAACTTACAAAGAGGGGCAGTGGGGCTTGCCTGGTGGTCCAGTGGCTGACTCTGCACTCCCAAGCAGGGGGCCCAGGTTCAGGCCCGGGTCAGGGAACTAAGACCCCCACATGCTAAGAATTTAATACTAAATAAATAAATAAACTAAGAAAAAAAAAAAGGTGATGTGAGAATCATCCCTTCAGGTCGCTACTTTGATTATTAAACAGAATTGTAGAGTTCCACATACTTGGAGGAGAATGTTGTAGCGAACTTCCCTCTATGTACTCATCGCCCAGTTTTTAAAAAATTCTTATTGGAGTGTAGATGGTTTAAAGGGTTGTGTTAGTTTCAAGTGTACAGCAAGGTGAATCAGTTACGTGTACACACACCACTCTTTTTCAGGTTCTTTTCCCATATGGATGAGTACAGTGTGTTGAGTAGAGTTCCCTGTGCTTCCTCGCCCAGTTTTAATAGTTAACACAGGTCTTGGTTCGTCTCTGACCCTCCCACCCCTTCCTTGCCCCTTGGGTTATTTAGAGCACATCACAGACATCTCCTCAGTTGATCTCTGAACCCTGCGATTTCTTTGGGTGCCTGACTATAAACAGTCAGACAGTGAACATCCTAGAAGGGGATTTTTTTACGGGGCCAGTACCTAGGTTTCAGTTTAACTTGAATTAACTTTTTAAAAAAATTGTTTAAAAGAACAACACAGTTTGTCGAATAAACTCTTTGAACCCCCCACTCTTGAAATTGTTTTCAGCGTGTCGTCTGGTGCTAGCTGATTCCTAAGTGTCCCTGATAAGGATCACCTGGCCCTGAGCAGGGATTTCCGGACACCCCAGGAAGCCCCTGGCTGGACCCTGCCCGAAGCCCCTGCAGCCCTTTTCCGGTGGTGGAGGGCGGGGCGGTCTCGGTTCCGCAAATCAGACCCTGTCTTGCGTATCCTTGCCCTCTGACCTCGGGCTACTTATCTGACTTTTTTTTAAAAGATGGAGGATGGGGCTGCCTGAAGTTTCCCGTGCTGAGAACACATTTTCCGGAGAGGCAGAGGGAAGCACGAACTGGTGTATTTGGGTGTGCGTTTTCATTTGGCGAATGAAGAGGCGAGAAGCCTCCTGTCTTCCTCCTGGTGGGGCCGCCTGTGTGCTGTTGCCTCCGCAGAGGCTTTCCTGGAGGGCTGGGTGGGGGGTGGGGGGGTGCCTCGGCTCCAGGGAGAAGACCACTGGTGCAAACCCTGCAGGACTGGGCCTCCTACCAGCATGGGCCTTCGGGAGACCAGGGGGAACCCATCTGCCCTGCTGCCTGGGCAGCTGGTCCTCACCCAAGCCCGCCGCCCTGAAAGCCCGTGCCTGCCTGGGGTGGAGCGTGGGACGCTGGCCTCTGGACAGCCCTGGGGGGCGCAGCACGTGCTGGGACTGGACGGAGGAAGACGCAGCTCAAGTCCTGCTTTGTTGTGTGTTTTTGTTTTCTTTTTTAAAAAATTCTTGTAATTTCTAGGTGGTAGCTTAACTGCGGGAATTATATGAGGCTGGTGTTCCTGAGAGCGTGTTCCCCCGTGTTCTCCTTGCTCTGCAGCGGGCATTCTTACTTTGATAAACCTGCAAATTGCGGGGGGCGGTTAGAAGGGGTTAGCCTCGGGTTGCTTGGGGGAATCGAGGCCCAGCCCTTCCCTCTTGTCCCTAGGAGCCCGGCACACCGAGCTCGCCTGATACTAATCGCTGCTGGTTCCACCTGCGCTCGGGAGATGGAATCCCTCGGTCTAGGGAAAATCCCATGGACGGAGGAACCTGGTAGGCTACAGTCCATGGGGTCGCAAAGAGTCGGACACGACTGAGCGAGTATCTGTATCTATGTAGGGTGGGGTCTGGGAATCTGATTTTTAACAGATGTGCCTGGTCGATCCCAGATAACTGGACCTGGGAAATTTCTCAGGAAAGTAATGTATGGTTAGAAAGGCTGGACCCAGGATATAGCGACCCAGGGCAGCTTGTGGACTTGGGCCTTGTGGCCGCCTGCTGCCCTGGTAAAGGTGGGAGGAAGGAAGGAGGGAAGAGAAGGCAAACCTGGCTGCCGCCTCTCAGGGGGACGGGAAAGTGGGAGGGGCCGGTGCTGGTAGGTAGGCAGGGTGCGTTCAAACCTTTCCTGCCCTGGCGAGGGCTTGGCTGGATGCAGAGGCCAGAGGGGCGTCGCAGTCAGAGCTCCCAGGAGTCCCCTGGTGCCTGCGTGGGGTGCGCAGAGGGGCCCTTCCTCCTGGACCTCGCGGTTGCCAGGGCAGCAGCGCGGCTCTCCAGGCCTTGACGCTTCCATCCTTGGCAGGTATTGCCAGCGCAGAAGCAGGCTGGGGAAGGTGGGGCTGGCAGACAGCCTCACTGGACGAGCCGGGAGAAATGTCGCAGAGGCGCCCCCCTCAGGTCGGTTTAGAGGCAAGAGGGTCCCTTCCGGAAGTGTTGGAAAGATACAGGGACGCCTCCCTCCCACCCCCCGCCATGCCCCTCAATGGGCTCTTCCAAGAGAATCCCAGTTCCTTGATTTCAGGGATTTCCTGTCACACTAACAGAGACCTAGTCCCTCTCCCTCTTGGTTGTACAAGGCACTGATCAGTAAGATGGGAAGCCCACATTTGGGCAGAAAATCTTCTGTTGTTTGCAAAAAGAAAATGAAACAGTAGGATATGTGGACATCTTACTGGAAATGCCAACACAGGTTTCTAGCCAGAAGTGGAGAGAAGCTGCGTTGCCTCCATTGCTTTTTATGAATCTTTTAAGATTTTAAATTGCCAGCGCAGAAGCAGGCTGGGGAAGGTGGGGCTGGCAGACAGCCTCACTGGACGAGCCGGGAGAAATGTCGCAGAGGCGCCCCCCTCAGGTCGGTTTAGAGGCAAGAGGGTCCCTTCCGGAAGTGTTGGAAAGATACAGAGACGCCTCCCTCCCACCCCCCGCCATGCCCCTCAATGGGCTCTTCCAAGAGAATCCCAGTTCCTTGATTTCAGTGGCCTTGATTTCAGGGATTTCCTGTCACACTAACAGAGACCTAGTCCCTCTCCCTCTTGGTTGTACAAGGCACTGATCAGTAAGATGGGGAGCCCACATTTGGGCAGAAAATCTTCTGTTGTTTGCAAAAAGAAGATGAAACAGTAGGATATGTGGACATCTTACTGGAAATGCCAACACAGGTTTCTAGCCAGAAGTGGAGAGAAGCTGCGTTGCCTCCATTGCTTTTTATGAATCTTTTAAGATTTTAAAATGGCGTTGGTATGGTCGGTGCTGCTTCTTAATTATGACGGCTTCATCATTTCGTTCTCATTTTACTCGTCCTTAACAACAGTGCTGAGAGGTTCCCATCTCGAGCTGTTCTGAGGAGCTGATACACAGTAACTACTTAACCCATCACAGTGATCCTGGGAGGTGAAGACCAGGTATCATTGTTTCTGGATGGAATTCACCTGCCCGAGGGTTTTAACACTGACATTCGGGGCTAAGGAGGAGAAACGTCAGCTCTCATAAATGACAGCCTTGGCTGATGGTCGTGAGTTGAGTCGGAAACCTGTCAGACTTGGCTGAGGAACTTTGGTAGAAGAAAAATCTCTCTTAAATTAAAAAAAAAAAAAAAATTGAAATTTCACTCCGACTCTGTTACGTTCCAAGAGAGATGAGATCCTGCTCTGCGGATTAGCAAGGGGGCTTTCGGAGAATGTCAGGGGCTCTCGCTCTGTTAAGAGTTTTGGTAACAGCTCCTCTTCCCCACGGACCACGGTGAGGACTTCCCTTGGCTGCGGGCTGCCCTTGGGGATCCCATGGAAACTTGGTGCCCCTTATTTTCAGGACACGTGCGATGACAGCGACGCGTCCCCCGCGGCGGCCCCGGTGGCAGACAGTGCCCACCTGCTGGGCTTCTCCGATGAGATCCTCCTGCACATCCTAAGCCACGTGCCCAGCACGGACCTGGTGCTGAATGTCCGGCGCACCTGCCGGAAGCTTGCGGCGCTGTGCCTGGACAAGAGCCTCACCCACACGGTGCTGCTGCAGAAGGACTATGAGGTGAGGGGCCCGGGGCGGCGCCCGGCATGGGGTAGAGCTGGGGAACAGCCGAGGTGCCCCGCTGAGGCCTGGGGTGCCTGCAGGGACTTCCTTGGTGAGCCAGTGGTTGGGACCCCGCCTTCCAGTGCAGGGGATGTGGGTTCAGTCCCTGGTGGGGGAGCTGAGAGCCCGCCTGCCTCACAGCGAAAGAACCAGAACATAAACACCCCGGGGCAATATTGTAACGCATGCAATAAAGACTTTTCCAAGACCTCTAGGCCCCGGGCCTGGAGTATTAGCCGCCTGGGCCAGGGTATAGGCGAGGTGGGTGTCATTCTGGGAGGGTCTTAGGTCCTGGCACCAGGCCAGGGGGGAAACCGATTTCCAGGTCGAGAGGTACCCAGGAGCGGACCTTCAGATCCATGAAAGGTCCCGGGCTCTCCTGTGAACTTGAGCACAGTCAGAGACACCACCTTGGCCTGCCAGCCGCAGCTGGGACTCCAGGTTGCCTGCATCCTCACTAGTGCTTGATGCTGTTAGTCTTCTGGTGGCAGCCATTCTGATGCACGGGAGCTGGTATCTCATTGTGGGTTTAGCTTGGTTTCCCGGTGAAGGACGCTGTCACATATTTTCATCAGGTGCAAGGGCGATTTGTGTATCGTCTCAGAAATGTCTGTGCAAGGCTCTTGCCCACTCATTATTTTCTTTTTTTTTTTTTAGTGAGTTTTGGGAGTTCTGTGTATGTTCTGGTACAATCCTTGGTCAGACATATTGTGAATGTTTCCTCATAGTCTGTGGCTTGCCGTTTCATTTTATTAGCAGTGTCTTTTGAGGAGTGTAAATTTTTCATTTTTGTTGTTAATTCAGTCGGTAAGTTGTGTCCCACCTCTTTGCAGTCCCATGGATTGCAGCACACCAGGCTTCCCTGTCCTTCACTATCTCCTGGAGTTTGCTTAAATGCATGTCCATTGAGTCGGTGAAGCCAGTCTTTTGAAGAGTATAAGTTTTTCATTTTGCTGATGTCCAGTTGAATTTTTGAGTTCCTGCTTTTTGTATTCTGTTGAAAAAAATCTTTGTTGGAGAAGGAAATGGCAGCCCACTCCAGTATTCTTGCCTGGAAAATCCCATGGATGGCAGAGCCTGGTATGCTGCCTTCCACGGGGTCGCAAAGATAAGTCTACAAAAACAATGCTAACTGCTCTTCTTTCATCTTAAGCTTTACTAGACACAGTGGTAAACAGATTACTTTAATAGAGTAGGTTTATATATTTAAAGACAGGTCTCTTCACTGCTTTTTTCCTCCCAGAAAGATTAATCTCCGATAGCATACATGTAACCTTTGAAACCTTTTTCACTGCTATTCTGTAACATAGAGTGTAGGAGTTCATATGCCTTTTAATAACTAGAAAGAGGTGTAGGTTTAGCTCCATGTGAATTCAAGGGACCTATGACTTGTTAGCTGGCTCGGAAGTTGGTCAGTTATCCTTTTCTTAAGGGCCCTGGAATAGTCATGCTAATGTTATACCGACCCAACCAGAAGGGTATATCAAGTAGTTAATTTTAAAACTACAGAAATACAGAAAAATGTGTAAGAAAAATTACTTATAGAATTTGGGGAACATATATAACGATTTGTGGGGTCCAATATGTGTAATCAAGTCCTTCTGGCCTGTAACTGTGAGGCTTTTTTCCATAATTCTGTAGAAGCCAGTCATCTAATTACACAATGTTGTTTACCTTCTCCACACTTGATTTCTTTATACCCTTTATTTTGTAATTGTATCATTTGTCTAGGAAGTTCTTGGTCATATAACTTACTTTGGTTTTTCCCTCTGTATAGGCTCTCTGCCTCCCTTTTTGAGTTTAAAAAATATTTGTTGAACATTTCCCAAGTAAATACTGCTCATGTTAGCCAACAAAAAAAGAAAAAATCTTTGTGAAAGCTGAGGTCATGAAGATTTCCTCCTGCTGTCTTCTTTCTTCTTTTCATCTAACGCTATATTACTTTCAGGTATACACTGTCATGGTTTGCTATTTGTATGCAATGGGGAATGATCATGTTGAACAGTTGTTACCTTACGGAGGTATAATTTTTTTTTCTTGTGATGAGAACTTTTAAGATCTTTTCTTGCAACTTTCAAAGAGGCAGTATGTTTGCATCTTTGTGATAATAATGTGGGGTTATTAACTACAGTCCCTGTGCTCTACTTCACATCCCCAGGACTTATTTTATAACTGGAAGTTTGTGCCTTTTGATTATCTTCTCCCTCCAAATCACCAATCTGTTCCCTATATCCATGAGCTTGGTTTTAAAATTTCCTCTTTCTTATGGAAGTCTAGTTGACTTACACTATTATATCAGTTTCAGGTGTACAACATAATGATTTGATATTTTTCTAGATTATACATCATAGGAAGTTATTATAATATTATTGACTATATTCCTGTACTGTAAGAGGTTTGTTTTTTTTTTAGTTCCACATATAAGTGAGATCTTACACTGTTTGTCTTTCTCTTACTTAATTCGCTTAGTGTAATTACTTAATTCACTTAGTGTAATGCCCTTAAGGTCCATCCATGTTGTTGCAAATGGCAAGACTTTCTTCTTTTCTTTTTTTATGACTGAGGAATACCACATTGTGTGTGTGTGTTTCAATCACAGCTTCTCTCTCCATTCATCCACTGATGGACGCTTAAGCTGTTTCCATGCCTTGGCTGTTGTAAATAACACTGTTGTGAACATGAGGGTGCAGATAATCTTTCTGACTTAGTGTTCTTGCTTTCTTTGGGTAAATACCCAGAAGTGGAATTGCTAAATCATTTGGTAGTTCTGTTTTTAATATTTTGAGAAGCCTCCATGCTGTTTTCCATGGCGGTTGCATCAATTTACATTCCCACCAACAGTGTCCAAGGGCTCCCTTTTTACCACATCTTGGTCAACGCTTGTTATTTTGGTCTTCTTGATGATGGCCATTCTGAGAGGTGTGAGGAGGTTTTTTAAAATTTAATTTTTATTTATTTATTTTTTTGGCTGCGCAGTGCAGCATACAGGATCTTAGTTCCCTGACCAGCAGTCGCTCCCTGCACTGGGGTCTTAGCTACTGGGCCACCAGGGAAGGCCTCGTCTGGAGCGTTTAGAATTGTCTTTCACCTGTGCGGTTCTGGGTGTGGACGTTGCTCTAAAGAAGTGATCACGTGCAGAGCCTTACATACACAGACGCTTGATG